GACCACGTGCCACAGCACGTGGCCCCCGCAGGGGAAGGGAGCTGAGGACCGAAAGGGCACAAGTTCCACACGGAATTTGGGCGGAAAGTCGGCGGGCCCTCCCCGGCCTCCCACCCCCGGCTGGTCTCTCCCGACAGCCAGGCCCCACCCGCAGAGCCCGCAAGGCCTTCCTGGGGCTGCCCTGGAGGAAAGCGTCTCCCAGCCTGAAACCAAAAAGCTACCAATCTGACGGCAGATCCGGGGACAAAGGGCAGCTTGGGGTCCCCCCGCGGGGCAGGGCCTGTGAGGCTCGTCTCCCCAGAAAGGCTGACCGGACGGAGGGCGCGGGGGCCAGGCCCGGCCGAGACCGGCTGCAGAAGCTGGTGGACACCAACGTGGAGGCGTGAGGGAGGGAAGGTGCCGCGGACGCCCACCCCACACACAGCAGCTCAGAGCGGAGGCCGGGGGCCAGCCCGCCAGGAGGACACGACGCTCCTCAGGGCAGGACAGAGAGGACAGTCTTGGCAGGGACTGGGTCCCCAGGGGAGTTAGGCCGGACCTGCCTTGCGCCAGCCACGATTCATCCGCACTAGACCACAGACCCGACGGAGCGGAGTGAAAGGGACAGCCGGCGGGCTGGGCTCCTTCGACAGGGACGGGGCTGCCGAGGGAGCGGCTGGACCAGCCGGACACTGCCCGCAAACAAGGGCCAGTGACCCGCAGGTAGGGCAGCATCAGAACCCACGGATGCAGAGCTGGGCGAGCCGTGGGCTGCCCAGAGAGCCTATTCCACGCGACGCCCACCAGCGTCCGTAAGGCAGTGAATCCCTGACCACCCGCCTGCAGGCATTTTAAATGACCCTGCCATTTGCGAGAGCATCAGCGAGAGCACGTGACTGCCACTTAGGAAACCTAATTGTGTTTTAAATAGCTTTTATCTATAAATTCATGTTTGTAAATATATGAAGTTTCAAACTGAAATATGTATTTGTTTTGCTTTGTGCTTGGTATACAGAGGTGACACCTGTGTTTTAACTTTTTGGCAAAATAAAATAAATACTTTGGGCAAATTGCAAATTCCTTGCACATCTCACTCCCCGTGTCCTGCAGACCCTTAAGGAGACGCCCAGGGATCGCCCTGGGCAGGGGCTGCGGCGGCCTGCCTCCCACCCATGATGGCGGGCGGCTGGGCCATGTCGATGCTGGTCTGCGGAGATGGCCATCAGTTACCGCTGGGCCGTGGCCAGTCGGGAGAGGCTGGGGTGGCAGCGGCCAACCACAGGCGGCAGGAGACCGCTGGACGAGCGGCGAGGCCACGGCCCCTCGTGCCCCGAGGGCGGCCTTCTCCCTGGCACCGGAGGGCCCCTGCCGCTCGGTGCTGTCCCGGGTCTGTCTCTAGCGCGCCCCTCACTGCACGCAGACAGGGTGGTGCCAGGGCCCGCGGACGCCCGGCGTGGCGCAAAGGGAAAGCCCCGAGAGCAGGCTCGCGGCCCCCGTGGGTGGGGCCTCCTCGCCCACGCCAACCGCCAGGTGTCGGGGCGGGGACCCCGCGGACGGCAGCCCTAAGCGCTCTCGGTGGGTCCCCGCGGGAAGGGCGGGGCCGCGCATGCACACAGGGGCCGCCCGGCGAGCTGGCGCCGGGCACCCGTGCCCCAGGCGGCTGCCGCAGCCAGTCTCCCCCCGAGGTGCTGGTGACAAGAGCCAAGGACGCACCTCAGCGGCCCCGGGAGCCCTGGGTAGCCGTACGGGAGGTGAAATGCCAGGGACGTCCCTCAGGGGGCACCGCGGGTTACGGAAGACCGAGTGCTCGGGTCACTGACGCGCCACAGCGTCAACGGTGACAAGCTGGAGCACTGCAAGCGAGACCCCACAGAACAGCGCACAGGGCCGGCCGAGGCGCGGCCCCGCGCCAGGGAGGCCCACAGCCCCTCGCTCTTGTGCGGAAACTGAGGGTCCCGCACGTCGCGGGTCTCAGACTGCCCCGTCCAGGGATCGGGACGCGGCGCCGGACACGCAGCCCGGGCTCGTCCAGCAGCTGCCTGGAGGAACCTCGGCGCCAGGGTCACTCACGCTCCTGCCTGACAAACGCGCGCCTGGGCACACGGCCGACGTTTGCTCCTTGACGCAGCTATGCAGCGTCTGTCGACCGACAAACTCTGGGTGGCAAAGGAAAAGCCCTGAAAATCAGAGTTTCCACTGCTAACTCATGTGACCACCTCCCTTTTCCGTATGATCATAACATCAAAACATTCTGAGCGACCATCAGCTTGCAGCTGGATGGCCTCAGCCTCAGGAGGCGCTGCCCGGCCCAGGCAAGCAGGCGCCGGCCCAGGGCGGCGGCTTCCCCTGCCTGGGGGACAGAAGGCAAGCCGGGGGAGAAGAGCCCAGGCCCCGGGAAGCTTCCTCGGTCTTTGAAACAGAAAGCAAATCTCAGACAAGACCCCCAGGGCACAAGACTCCCGACTCTTTGCTAACATGACTGACACAGTTTTGCTTAACTATGGCTAAGCGGCTTCCCTTAGTGGACCCTTTTCCTAGAACAAACGCTGAAACAGCAAACACTAGCTGCCCTCTGCTAGCCTGCAGCTTCTCTTCAGACACGCACGCACGACTCAGCCAACAGTCTGTTCCCTCCCCAAGCCCCCGCAATCCTGTGCTGGCAGCTCCTCCCCCCCGCCCCCCTGGTCCTTTGAGTCAGTCAAACACCTGTGTGAGTGACAGTCGCCACAAGTGTGTGCAGTCGAGTGCCCACGCAGCGTCAGGGGGACGCGAGCTCCCTCGTCCTCGAGGGCTTCTCTGGTGACTCCTTCACTTGGCTTACGCGACTCTGTCGCCGGCCACCTGCTCAGACGCCGGCGGGAGGCCGG